TAGAGAGTAAGTTTAGTTCAAATAATAGTAAGTTTTCACGGATTAATAGTAAATCCTGTTGATAGAATAGTAAATTTGGTTAATCATCAAGACTTACTAGTTTGTAGCATAAATTTACTATTTTACTTAAAGAAACTTATATGAAACAAGTATTAGGAAGTTTATTTAAAATAATGCAAAGATTTTTTTATTAATGATTGAAACTTAATATTATAGTTTTTTTTTTTTACCTTATACTTTTTTATTTATCCAAAAGTAAAAATTACAAAAATGCGCCCTGCGCAGTTTAAGGCCTAATATATGGCATCTCTAGCTGATCTATCCTAAGGAGAGTTTTAATCTTGCGTGGAAGTGACTCTTCTCCGGTGTATACCACACCGTGGCCCAGCTGCAATGCGGCTAAAGCATCCGCTACCATATTGGCTTGTCGAAAGACGTGGCTAAGATCGGCCCCCAGCTCTGATAACAATCAACTTAATATTATAGTTAGTAATTGTTGGTAACGTAAATGTATAATATATGATTGTATGTATCATTCATCAATGTTATGTGTTTTAAGCATTTTAATAAATGTATGTATCATTTACAAAGGTTATGTGTTCTAATAAATTTATTTTTTAGGTCACAAGTATAAAAGTTAAATTTGTACTAATGTAGCATAATCTTTGAAAACTATAGTAAATTTACCCACATATTAAGTTTTGTGAGATTCAAATATATTTTGTATCATTTACAATATGGATTTATATGCACATTTTTTTTTATCAAACTTACTTTTAATTGGCAAATAGTATGTAAATTATTATAAAATGTCATTTTATAATAATCATAATTTTTATAGGTGAATGGTATATAAACTGCTAAAATTGCCAATTTATAAATGATCAAATCTTACTACTTTATGGCATATATTAGTTTGGTCAACTAAAAAATTATCGTAATTAAGTGTACGTTGGTTGTTGATTTGAAATTTGCACCCCCGTCACTATTTTGTTATTTCTACCACAAGTTTTTCTAATCAAAGTAAAACAAAGTCAAATATCTTTTCCTTTTGTATGTAGTATTTATATTTAGTAAAAAATTAATAAACCATGATTACATTTCATAATTTCTAATAAAATTAGTAACATTTTCTAAATAAATTGGAATAATTTGTAAAATATGTTATTTTTTTAACAATATAATTACGGGTGGCAATCGGGTCCAAATCGGAGTGGCGGGTCAGGTTGAGATCCAGGTATAATAGAAAAGTGGTTGACCCGAACTTGACCCCCCAACCCAAAACGGGTCAGGATATCTAACCAGAATCTGAAAATTCCAGGTTGTCGGACTGGCGGGACGACCCGAATGACCCAAAACTTAATTTTATTTTATTTATTTACCACTGTAATTTCTAATTCGCACAAGACTAATTACATAATCAAGTAATAAAAATTTAAATAAATAATCCCAAACCAAATCTAAAATAAATTAAAAACACTGTAAAAGTGTTTTATTCCAAACCAAATATAAAATAAATAAAAGCAGTATAAAAGTAAAAAATAATATAATACATTATTTGTCCAAATATAATAATTTCAATTTCAAATAAGTTAAATAAATTCATTTAGGATTAAGTGATTAATGCATTTGAAAAAAAAAGAATAACTTAGTTTAGTTAGGTAAAATAATTTTTAATTCATAAACAGGTGTTCGGGTCGTATCGGATCACCCACGGTCTAACCCGAATTCGACCCGTTTTCTTTTCGGGTTTGTCGGATTCGACTCGATTCTGACCCGAACCCGTGAAACTTCAATCCGAATCAATTAATTTCGTGTTAGGTTCATATCGTGTTTTCAGGTCGTTCATGGTAATGCACCCCATAATGGTAATTTTTTGTGGTGAATAATTATAAATGTCAGTGTAACTGTTATCTTTACTTGCATGGTTAACTCACTAATTCTATTATGGTGTCATGAATTTTCAGTTTCAATCCGAGACTGAACGTTTTAACATTGCAATGGAATTGGTCCTACACCGTAAGAATGCATGGGGATTTCTTCTACAAGATCATTTGCAGAGAAGATGAACAATAAAAGTATTCATAGTTGGGAAAAATTCTAATTCATCTTGGCTATTTCTAGCTGAATGCCAAGTACTTTATAAGGCAGAAGAATGTGCTTTATATTTGCTATTCTCCTATCTTACTAAATGTGCTTTATATTTGAAGAGAGAAGCGGTATTCTCCTGAGTGCATATGACAAACACTAATTTGCTGCGAGACTAATGGGATATACCTGTGATAAAAGGAAAAGTGATCCATCCATTGTCATTTTTTTGGCGGGATTGGACAGTTGAGCTGCTTGGTTCTTCTATGTCCATGGATGCAGGAATTAACTGTTAATATGATGCAGCAGCCGAGCTAAAAGTTTGTCCCATTATTCCTAATGGCAGATTGTCATTAAATAGAAAGGTGGATTAGTTGTTTATTTATAGAGGACGTGGGAAGATACTATTTGTTTGGACCTCTGCTAATGGCTTACGGTGGAAATCGCGGCACTTAAATTCACAAAGGCCGATGCTCTCTCATAAAAGTGCCGTCAGTCTACATAGGAAAGCAACACACTTTTTTTTGGGTCGGAACGAAACGATACATTCGTTTCGGAGTAAAAACTTCTAATGCTCGCAGAAATAAATAAGAGTACGTGCTCCTACGACAGAATGGATGTTACACCGCTATTAATGTGGTAAGGGCATCCTCCATAGTACTTTATAGCAAAATGTAGCATGTAGTAAGTAGCTGCTTATATAAAACTACCGAGGTTTAGAAGTGGTTAAGCATTAGAACAACTACTGCATAATAGTCCCTGACTAAGCTGAACAAAATGTGACAGGGTCACAACTACAAAAGTAGTAGCGCAATCAGAAAACACCTATAACAACTAAGACAAAAAGAGAGACTGTGTCCGATGCACCCCATGTTTGACTAGAACCATCCATATGGAATTTCATGATTAATGCTAATCTTCCCTGCTTCCTTTCACTTATTCCATCCCGTTGAGATATCCAGTCCTGAAAAAAAACATGACTTTCAGTTTTAGCATATCTGGAAGCGGAAATAACCAAATGATGACAAGAATAACAGTAAAACGTATGCGTGCTTCAAGCCCCTAAGCTTTAGCAGCAGAACAAGCCATGTGAGAAACATTTCTATAGTAAACCACCTGTACCAATTTTAATGCTCGAAACAATCGAAGTAGATAATTCATTTATTTGAGAACATAAGAATAAAAATCAAGAATACGGCTGTAAGCCACAAGAACAACTCAGAGAAACCAGTAATTTTTTTTTACTTAAATATGTACATTTTTTACTTTTAGTATTAGTAAGTTTGATTCAACCATAAGTAAATTTTGTCAAATAATAAGTAAATTAAATTATTCAAAGTGTAAATTTCTATTCCTGACTAAAACTTATCTTTCAGGCATATACTTACTAGTTTTAATTAAAAACTTACTAAAGTTAATATTAATTATTTTAATATAATATTTAAAAAAGTCGCTAAAAATTTTGATCTGTCACTAAAGGTAATAGAAACCTATAATAGTAGGTTTCCCTAATATCGTTACTGTAACTATAGGCACTGTAGCATTGTCCCTAAAGGAAAAGACTGATCATCAACTAACATGTCATAATAATTATGAATCTTAAAATTAATTTTCCAGTCAGCCCACCCAAACTGAAATCGCGCAAATTTAACACATGTTTCACACCATAAACACCTGCAAATGCTAAAGCAAGTCACTCCTATCTATCTACAGGAAAAGTAGTCGTAAATTCTCAGTTTTTACTTCAACCTCAATAATTGAAAACTTTGCTTACCAATAAAAATAAAAATAAAAATAATAATAATTACAATAATAAGCAACGCAATTACACATTTTTGACTATATATGATAAATCGACCGGAACTGATCAGTGGTCTAAATAATGGTATTCCCAAGTCACTTTTACACAAATTGATGCTTAATTCCTTGACTTTGAGGGAGACTATCTGAAAATTTTATGAAGGAAATCATACTACATATAGAGCAGAGATTAGTTCACTTAGCTGAGCCTTAATTAACCATATGTTATCTGAATTTTCCTTCAGAAGATTCCAAAAAGAACTGATTCCTAGCCACGAGATCCCCCCCCCCATCACAAAAAAAAAACTCTTTAGACAGCAGGGCAGGGATTCACGAAGACTCCATATATTAATGAAATTCATACATACTTCTAATTTAGGCAAGAGATTATGCATTCTAATTGATGTGTACATGCTAATGTAATTGAACCAAACATGCAGCTCCAGGACGGTGCTTTCTTGCTCAGGAGTCAGGATTCATTCATTTGGAGTATTTTAGCTAGTAATGACAAGTTTACAAGAAATGAGTTTGATTGTACTTGCTACCTATCCCATTGGCGTAAACCCCCAAATTTTTGACTTCAATACACAAAGTCGTATTTTTTGGACAAAAAAAAAGAGAATACACATAATTGTATTTATGAATACTTCAATCACTATGCTTGTCTTATTATGGAGCTTGGAGTCATCTTAATTGTCCATATCTTATGATTGAGAGTGGCGCAAGACTCCTTCCTAGCAAGTAAGCAGTGGTAATTAATATGTATGGATGAAACTTGGACCGATTCCCACAGACATCCAAGCCAAGTAACCCAAATCATTAATATGACCTTCAAACCACATATATACATACACTTTCTTTGTTTAATTGAAGGACAATGTTAGAGGGCCCCAGTGGAATCTTAGTCAATAAAACCACATTTATCCATTGATATATTTACGCCATTGGGCTGCAGCCGGCTGACCATTATCTTAAGTGCAATATTGTGATGGATTGTAGATTTCAATGATTATTATACTTTTGGCAAAAATTTTTTTCAAATGTCAATAATCTATGTCTTTACCTACTCTTGCTCCTAAATAACGAGGAAAAGGACAATTCTAACTGGATTATTAGGAATAGAAAGAGACTAAATTACCTTTGAATTAGACGGATGCCCTATGACACCTGTTGGATTTAAAAAAATTACATAAAGTGACAATTGATAGAAGGCAAGATTCAAAACTCTGACCTCCCAACTCACAAAATCTTAAAGTACTTTTTGTGGTTTAACAAGTAGCGTACATATGCAGGTATCATCTATCCTTGCATCTTTTTCATGATAAGAAATCTATCTGGTCATTTCTTTCCCTCCAGCTTGCGTTTTTCTCAACCCAGTCGGAAGCCATTGAAAGCATGGCAAGTGCCAGTGAACAATTGAGTGGTAGGTGGTCTCTTAATAGAATGACTGCCCTTGTTACTGGTGGCACCAGAGGCATTGGGTAAGCAAATTTCTTCAAATATAGTTCCTGGTATTTATATTTATATCCAAAAATTAGTAAAATCATTTCAACATTAGTTTTCTCATTCACTCCTCAAAAGGGTATGTTAACTGTTAACAACCAATTGGACAACTTTTAATGAGCAGAAAAACCTACTCAATCACGGTCATATCTCGTTTCGTATACATAAATCCTTACTTCCTTCACTTGTTCTAGTATATATGTGCGATTATGTCCCTAGTAGCTTTAATGCAACATCCAAAATGCGTGTCCCCATTTTAACTATTTGACCCAAAATTTCAGGCATTCCATAGTGGAAGAGTTGGCAGGATTTGGAGCCATAGCATACACATGTTCATGAAACCAAAAGGAACTTAATGAAAGGCTGCAAGAATGGGGAGCAAAGGGTTTCAAAGTTTATGGTTCAACTTGCGATAAGGCTTCAAGAACAGAAAGAGAGGAACTAATAAAGAACGTCTCTTCCACCTTCGACGGCAAGCTGAACTTACTGGTAAGTACAAACTCTGATCCATAAAAATGGTTGGTCCATCTATTTCTTGACTTGTTAAAGAATCATAAACATCATCTCTGTTTAGAGTTTTAGTATATGCATCCAGAGTAATTCTTAGGGGAAATATTTCCGATATCTTGGTTTGAATTAATTTCCCAAATGCGGACTGCAGTGCAGATATTTTGTAGGATGTGCCGGCTGAAAGTGAATGATATGCTTAAAAAGGAGTAATTTAAGAAGCCTCCCATCAGATTTTTAACAATTTGACTGCCATTTCTATTTGGCAATTAGAACTTTTAATTTTCTCACCCGCACAGAGTAGCAATCATAACACAGAAATTTCTCTTTGACATTTCACCAAACATCTTATATGCATTCACAAATTAATCACATTTAACTTAAACGCCTAGTCTCAAGTCCTTTTCTAGATGTTTCATATGACTATTAAGCATATTTTACCCGTAGACAATCAAAACTACAACCATTTCCTAGATGTTTCAGTGGACATTTTCAGCCCCAAAATTGCAATAAAATCTTCAAATTCTCAGCCTTGATTTCGCAAGAAAATCTTGACAAACAAAACAAATAAAATATAAATAAATTACAGCAATATAATCAAACGATTTCAAGAGGACATGATGGTCTAACCTCGTCACTGCTCTTTTTCATATACTCTTTGATTGGCTACCACCGTCGCAAACCCTTTTGTTGTGTCTGCATATGGCAGCACCCAAAAACAGCCGATCAACACCCAAAAAACGGAATCAGATTCGGAGAATTTATTAATTGGTCACCCGGAGGACCCTGTTCCCAACGTAAATGATGAGTTGAATCGAAGTAACAGATGCTCCCTTTTATTGTGTCTGCATATGGCAGCACTCAAAAACAGTCGATCGATGAGAAAGGATATAGGGAAAGTTTGAACTAAAGATGAAAATTTTGAAGTGAGAAAATTTATTCAATTGTAACCAAGAGAAAGTGTAGATCAAAGTGAAAATCTTTGTCTGGGAATTCAATCGTATCGTTGGAACTGAGAACTAAGTAAGAAGAAGGCAGATGACTTTAAAGAGATGAACCAAAAGTGTTTCAGGAACCCAAAACCGTTTTCAGAAACTGGTAACTTTTTAACTAGAATATGTACATTTTTTACTTTTAGTATTAGTAAGTTTAATTTAAATATAAGTAAATTTTGTCAAATAGTAAGTAAATTAAATTACTCAAAGTGTAAATTTCTATTTCTGATTAAAACTTATCTTTCAGACATATACTTACTAGTTTTAATTAAAAACTTACTAAAGTTAATATTAATTATTAACATATAATATTTAAAAAGGTCGCCAAAAAAATTGATTTGTCACTAAAGATAATAGAAACCTATAATAGTAGGTTTTCCTAATATCGTTACCATAACTATAGGCACTGTAGCATAGTCCTTTACATGTTTTTTGAACTTAATAGATAACTCCATAATCTATGCTAATGCCACGAAAATTAACTATTATTATTTGAGAGTTTCTTAATGATTTTACCCAATTTCTTTATAATTAACTCAAGATGGTCCGTTGCCGAGAAATTTAGCTCCGTTTGGATTGATCTTTTTTTAAAAACTCCAATTTTATATACAATACTACAGTAATACACAAATAAAAACAATATCAAAAACATCAAAAACAACGTTAAAAACATCAAAAATAACCTCAAAAACACAAAAAAAAATAACCTAAAAAAATAAAAAACAACTTCATCTACAGTAAAAGTTTTTCATCTACATAAATATAATAAAATATTTCAAAAACACCCCAAAAATAGCTAATTCAAACTGTATAATCTGTCATGAGAAGTAATTGATCTTTAACCAGTAAAAGTGCTCCAAATAACATTATTGAAAAGTTCGTAAATTCTCCATAAAATACAATCTAAATAAGATAATTGGCCAGCCCTTGTTTGGCCAATTGACAGCGTGAGATTCGTCAAAAACAAACCTACACTTGCCAAGATGTTGGTTTAAATTTGCCTTGTGGGACTCGAAAAGTAGTTTAATTCAAATTTTCTTCAGGATACTGAGTCATTTAAGATCCTTCCTTCAATTCGCTGGCACCTGTCTGGAAAGTGGATTCTAGCCATCTCTCCGTTTCTTCCCATGTATTCTTTCAATCGCAGCTGGAATATTGTGGCTCAGTCGAAACATATGATTCTCGACGAATAATACACTAGTATTCAGGATTGACAACAAGAATATGTCCACTATTTTCCTTAGCACCAACTTGTTTTATATGCGCTTGAGGACTAGATGGATGTCAGCATTGTTGTTGTGTGATTTGGAGCTGGTCTTTGGTTGCAAGTTTGATGGTACTCGTGATTTTGTGAATATGCCGATGAAGTGTTTGCGCATTTGTCTGAACAACTAGTCTGCGTTTAGATGCATCCTTTTCATGTTAGCTTCATAAAACCTTGTTATTAGCGAAGAAGAAATTTAGCTGAAATTGGAAAAAAGAAAACATCTTGGTCATGGCTTTCTGGTACTTACGGTTACTAGAAAGCTCGACATATTCAGGAATCAGAAAATTTTATTTAATTATACTTTCTTGGATTAAGTTTTTGTAGTAGATTCTCCCAATTCTGATACTGAACTGATGGACAGGGTGTTCGTATTGAATTTTATTTGTTAATTACATTTTCTTAACAAAATATCACTTCTAATTAATTGTTTCTTTTTGTGCTTAGCATTTTTCAGCTTAGACCTCTCTGGCTTCTGCAATGTCATAATTCTCTTGTGTATTTGCGTGATGGTGAGTTTTTGATTAAATTGCACCTTTATTCTTTTTCAGGTTTGCATTCTGTGGTTGCCATCCCTCGTTTCATGGTTATAATATTGCTGCTGAATAGCTGCCAGAATTGGAATTAGAATGCTATGTGGATTGCTGAATCATCTCATTCTTGGAAAGGATTATGGTCTGATTTCTAATCAATTTGAGTAGATGAACTATGCTACATGGAGATATGATGTCTTTCCGGAAACTGGCCTACCATACTCCAAGACTATCTTCTGCATTACTTCAATCACTTGCTACTGGTGGTTTGAGGACTTATGAGAAATTTTCAGGAGCAGAATGGAGTTGCAGGCCTTCCACCCTGTTCAGGGAATTCAAATCAACCAACTTAATAGAGAAAAGCAATTGTTTGGATTTCCAGACAGGCTTTACTCGTTCTTCACTACCTTTTTCTACTGTTGCAGGAACAATTCTTGTCCAGGCTCGAGACCCAGGCAAACTGTGCCAGGAGTTAGAAGTTGCAATCGAGGAACTCAGACTAAGTGATGCTTGGAATTTATACAAGCAATACATGCATATGGAGGGATTTCCTAGGAAATCAATTGTCAATGTGCTTGTAGCTACGTTGGTAGAAAGTTTAGATGTTCAATGGCTGGAGAAGGCTTATGCATTGTTTGAACAAGCCTCAGAAGAGCACAAGCAGAACCTCTTTGAAAAGGAGACTCTAATTTATCTCTCTTTGGGACTTGCTAGATGTGGACTGCCTGTTCCTTCATCAACTATTCTGAGAAAGCTTATTGAGATGGAGCAATTTCCACCCATTAATGCTTGGGCTACAATCCTGGCATATATGTCACAGACCTCTCCTGGAGCATACATTGCAGCTGAGTTGGTTCTTGAGATTGGTTATTTATTCCAGGATGGAAGGGTGGACCCACGTAAAAAGGTCAATGCACCATTGATAGCCATGAAACCCAATACAACTGCATTTAGCATTGCTGTGGCCGGTTGTCTTCTATTCAATTCTGCTAGGAAAGCCGAGCAACTACTTGACATGGTGCCTCGGATCGGTTTAAAAGTGGATGCTACCTTGTTGATCATTATGGCTCATGTGTATGAAAATAACGGACGAACAGAAGAGCTGAAGAAGCTTCAGAGGCAAATTGACGAATCTTATGGTGTAAGTGACTTACAGTTTCTCCAGTTTCATAATTGCTTACTCTCAAGTCATCTAAAAGTCGGGGATCTAGATTCTGCATCTCAAATGGTGCTGGAAATGCTTCACAGGGCAAAGAAAGCGCAAAGTTCTTTTGGGGCAACCACTTCAGCATTCAAAATGGTAGCAAATGGTAATAGATCATCCTCTGGACATGTTTCTAAAGAGGATTTAGACTGCAGAGAACCAGATGGAGTGGAATATCCTACACTACGCCCTCTTTTGTCTTTTGAAAATTTCTCTAGAGACAGGAAGTTTTTGAAACTTGAGGCAGAGGCCAAAGAATTACTTGATGTTTTGGTTTTCAAGGTACAGAGACAAGTACAATTAATAACTACTGAACATGGTATTCTCCAGCCAACAGAGAGATTGTATGTGAAATTGGTTAAGGCTTTCTTGGAATCACAGAGGACAAAAGATTTGGCAGAGTTTCTAATCAAAGCCGAGAAAGAAGGTTCTCCAGTTTCTGCAGATAATTCTACCTTAATACACGTCATAAAATCATGCATATCCCTTGGATGGTTAGACCAGGCTCATGATCTGCTTGATGAAATGCGCTTGGCAGGTATTAGAACTGGTTCTTCTGTATATGCCGACCTCCTAAAAGCATATTGTAAAGAAAATCGAGCCGGAGAGGTAACATCATTGCTTAGGGATGCCCGTAAAGCTGGAATACAGCTAGATGCAAGCTGCTATGAAGCATTGATCGAGTCACAGGTGCTCCAAAAGGATACCCAAGGGGCCCTTTGTCTGTTCAAAGAGATGAAAGAGGCTAAAATACGCAGAGGTGGTCATCAAGATTTTGAGATGCTGGTTAAAGGATGTAGTGAGAGTGGTGAAACTGATCTAATGTCAAAACTCTTGCAGGAAATTAAGGAAGGGCATAAAATTGATTGTGGAGTTCATGACTGGAATAATGTTATTCACTTTTTCTGCAAGAAGAGGCTGATGCAGGATGCTGAAAATGCATATAAGAAAATGAAAAGCTTGGGTCACTCCCCGAATGCACAAACTTTCCACTCTCTTGTAATGGGCTATGCTGCTATTGGGACAAAATATACAGAGGTTACAGAATTATGGGGTCAGATGAAGGCTCTTGCCTTTTCCAGCAAGATGAAGTTTGATCAGGAACTATTGGATGCTGTGCTTTATACATTTGTGAGGGGTGGGTTCTTCGTTCGAGCCAATGAAGTTGTTGACATGCTTGAGAGGGGAAACTTGTTCATCGACAAATATAGATACCGAACCCTGTTCCTGAAGTACCATAAAACACTATACAAGGGCAAGGCTCCAAAGTTTCAGACAGAAAACCAAATGAAAAGAAGAGAAGCAGCTTTGAATTTCAAAAAGTGGGTTGGTCTAAGTTGAAGAAGACATCAATGTGGTGATATTCTAGGAATTAACTATTTCATCAAGGCTTTCCTGCTTTGATGAATTTGTTTTAGCTGGCCATTGAAAAGAAAACCGTTAACAAAGCTCCCACAATTTAAAAAGAAGATTTGCAGATACCAAGTTCCCAACTGCCGATTGTGGTCTTTGAACTCCACTTATTTGGAGGAGTGGAGTTGGTTGAAACCACTTCCCATTAGTCTTGCCATGTAATCTAAGTACTCATCTTGGTGCCTGCGCAGAGTCCGCTCCGCAATTGTATTACCTAGTTGTGAGTTCAGTTATTTTAGTTCTCCAAATTCTTCATTAAAAAATTTGACTTGACAGTAGTGAATGATCTACTAATTTGTCAATGGTTTCCATTTCATATTACATGTAAATTTGTACATATGTAGAACTCGGTTCATGATGGGACCGCTTGTTGAACTTCTCATTGACAATAACATCATCTGATTTTATATCAACATGGATAACTAAAGGACTGCCCTGATCTGCTGATAAACCATTTTACTGCATCCATTTTATATACATTTGAGAATTTATGTGTGCAGTACAATTTCCTTCTGAACTTGGTGGAGAATAATCCAGAACACTAGAAGCATGAATAATTTTCATATTTCTCAGCTGTACCTGCAGCAGTGCCTTGATGAAATTGTTATTTGCTAGACTCTTGCTCCTTTCCTTTTCCTTATTCTGATGACACGTATAATCATGTTACTTAAGGGACTCTTTTTTGCCGCAAATTTTCGAAAGAAGATAGCAAGGTGTTGTGCGTCAAATTTGAGGTGCTACCTAAGGCTTACTCCTTTATGGAGATTTGAAAAAAAGCGAAGGGGAGTATAATTGAAAAACTTCTTTTCTGGGTGAAGAATATGTAAAAGGCATTTTGGGAAGCGTCCATTTGAATTTTAATCTGATTGCTTCAAAAAAGCCGTCGATTTGAGAATTTATTCGTTGTTCTTCATTTTTGCATGTTCTATAGTCACCTGAAGCCCGGGGAACTAGACTGCGACAAGTCGTCGCTAATAGTCAATAACGAGCTAACACGAGTCGGCATTAACGAAATAGTCTAGTCAGCCTAGGAAGGGAAGGAACGATTTCTGCACACGTTGACCCATGGAAGACTTTTAAATGGATTGTGAATGAGCGAACAAAGATAAGAAATACTACTTAAAAGCTCTCCTTGAGCGAAGATTAATAAAGATTGCGAGTAAGTCGCAAAGAAAAAGATTTAAAGCTCTTACTGGATGTGAGTCAAGAAATCAAATCTCTTAATTTGTATTTTTTTCGGACTTTTTTGAAAGTATTCGGACTTGTCCAGTCGCGATTTAATTCTTTCTATATCTCTCATTGACTCCTTTAGATCCACCTTTTTTACTTAATGTATAATAAAAATTATTGTATCGAAAAAAAACAACAAAGATAGGAAAGAGGTAAAAATCTGTTATTGCCAATTTTATAAACCTGGTCTTGTCTCCTGTTATTGACTCATTAATTGTTTGCAAATTGCAAATGTTATTTGAAAAGCATACCGCTGCCTGGTTTATGTTGGCTTAGTTAACATATTGGATAGCTCTATTTTGTCAAATAATATTTGGCTTGCATCATAAACACATTTCCCAACCCACCTTTTTATATTCTCAACAATATTTTTATCTCATCACAAAAAGTATAACAGTATTTATTTCAAATAATACTCTATCCAAACAAACAAACCCAGTGTTTGTAAAAAATAAAACACAAACTTTTTAGGAAACAAATTCCTCACAACTCAAAGGAAAGAGTTTGCTTCTTAACTAGATGCAAACCCAGATTTTTTTTCTATTTTTGAAGGAAAGGTACTAGGAAAACAATAAAATTATATGTCAATTTTAATTAAGTTTGAGAAGTTAGGACTGTAGTTTTTGGACCCGTTTCCTTTCAAAGCCAAAAATAAAACAAAAACAAAAATTTTTTTTGAACATTTGATGGCTTATACAAATGGAAATTTCCGTCCAATAATGTAAAAATAGGGTCGCGAAATAATGACCAAACTTATGCGCTACAATTTTAAGTCATCCCTTAGAGCGCCATTTTTTTTTTTTTTCCTTTCAACAACAAAAACAAATTAATTAGTTAATCAATAACAAACATACATAAATTTGGCCAAATAAAACTAGATTGCACAGCATATGTTTTAGAAAAGCTGAATAACAAAATTTTGTAAAAAATAGACTTTCAACAATAGCAAACAATTCTAGAGCAGGAAAACATACAAAAATTCAATATTCCTGAGACCATTGAGTTGGAGTTCTTGAATGTTCCTGGAACCTATTCTCTCTTCCCTTTATCAGAGCAACTCTGATATACAAAGTTCAACAATTTATATTGTTTGATAATTTTGTTCTGCTTACCCATTCTCACCCTCATTTTTATACAATAACAACGTGAATTTTGAAATTCTTAAAATTAGGGGATAAAACCACCTCTCTCTCTCTCTCTCTCTCTCTCTCTCTCTCTCTATGGGGGATAGAATAATAGCAATTTTATTAATGAGATAGTTGAAAATCATCCGTCACGATTTACTTGACAAAGTCACGAGAGATAAAACTATTTTAACATCGAATTCAAATACAAATTAATTATGAATAGAACATAACATTCTTGAATTTGGCTAAAACTAATTGAAACCACCAGCCTCTTGGATTAATGTTCAATCCAATCCGATTAAGATTCAAATTCATCAATTTGATCAACAAAATAGCTTTTCCAAATGACCCATAAAATAGCCTGTGGATGTTGATCAATTAGAGGTGCTAGAATAAACGCTATTAAAAGTTCTTATAGTAGTGTTTTTGGTAATTAATTTTCCGTACCTTAAGTGGCTCAAATTTTGATAACTTAAAAGTACTTTTTATTAAAAACACTTGTGTCAGAAAGACTTCTTTATATGCCGTCATAATCCCAAATGAGACCTTAGATTGATTCAACAATAGAATTTTGAGACAACATTCCCATCATCAACTCCACAGTGGAATTTTGAGGTAAGGATAAGGATTCCAAAATTTCATATATAAATTTGCTTCTATTTTTTTGGTTCCATTAATGAAAAAAAAAACAATTATTCAATGTACATTAACAGCAAACCTACTCGTGTCAATCAAGTTTTCATAGTCCAATGAATAAGATGACTAAAAGAAATCATGGTACGCAATTCAATTTTCGTCTCCTCTTTTTTTCCTAAGTCCAAAGGACTTTTAATATTTTGACAAACCTAAACCCCTCGAGAACCCACAGAACCCGGCAATTTTCGTCTCCTCGCCCACTTCTTTTTCTCCTTCCTCTAATCTCATGTGACAAAAAAAACAACTATTAAAAAAATGGTAGCAGAATAGCAACGCAATTTCGACCTCGTCATGCCCGACAAATTGATTAGTAGTCAAATCCCATGACGGCAGCTCCAAAGACTCCGAAGTTTGAAAATTCAATTCAAACGGACTACCAAAAATAGCCAACCTTTGACTTTGTCGTATTCTAGAAACCAAGCACATTACTACCAGTATTATATTTATTAAATGAGGGTACTAATTATATTTAACTCTCCATTTCATTAGTTGGACCAAATAAAAGATTGTCGACCATTATTCTTCTGAATCTCAAAGCATCTCCAAACTTGCACCTGCCCTGCAAAATTGACGTTTCCCTTTTTGCCCTTTTTGCTAAAGGAAAAACTGGATCTGAACAAATGTACCACATGGCATTTCGAAAGACTCCAAAAAATTAGGTGAAAAAGAAAACGGATCAGCCCAAAGTGGAAAGCTAAACTAAGCATTTAATTATACAGTAGTTAATTTTTTTTTTTTTTAAGAATAAACAGGAAGTCTCGAGTCTGGGAATGTGAGTTTGATAAAACTGAAATTTGAAAATTGAGATATGAAATCTGAAGTTTAAATCCATTAAACTGTTAAATTGTTAAATACTAAATATGATATATTTGAGTGTATATCACATTAAGTGATAAGTGCGAATTTTGTTTAGAAAATTCAATGTCATTGAATTAATTCAAATGTTCAATTTTTTTTATTATTAAACATGTTTGAACATGTTAAAATTTGAATCCATTCATTTAAGTGATGAATTAGGTTATCAAATAGGGTCTTACACTCTCTCATTCGGACCATCTAACTCGTCTCTCTCCATATACACAGTATTGTTCTTGTTATAGTATAAAAAAATAAATCTAGTAGTACTTAATTATTATGATTAATTCCATTTTGCACCCTTCAACTATATTCAAATTTTTGCTTTGGTCCTTTAACTTTAAAATGAGACTCTTTAGTTTTTAAACTATAAAATTTGTCTCACTTAAATAACATGATTAAGGAAGTGAGACAGATTTTATGTCTAAGTGAGTATATTTTGAGGACTAGATTGAGACAAATTTTATATTTTAGGAACTAAAATGGACAAGTTTTATATTATAGAGACTAAAGTATGACAAATTTTATAATCATTCTAAAGTTTAGGAACTAAAATGAGAATTCAGGTCCAGTTAAAGGATACAAAGTGCAATTAACCCTAATTATTACGAATTGTCCGCCTTATTATTTTGACTGTACGAATTGTAGCATTCGGCAATAGTTGCCATGCACAAGCTCCCAAATATTCTGAATCTGGGAGCATCTTCGAACTTTACAACCCTGCAAAAGGCGCTGAATTTAGCATTTGGCAAAAAAAAAATTTATACGTGTCCGGTAGTTAGTGGAAAACTGGGTTGAATCAAACTTTATGTTTTTCATAAATATATTTTTTTAATCATCTTTTTATTTCATGCATACCAACTTGTTACGTTACTTTTTTAACAAAAATTTCAAAAAATAACAATTTAATTGACCTAATCAAAATTTATTATTAGTATTCTTAACAAATTCTTCTAATTCCTGGGTGTGTTCTAGTGCATTCAAATAATATCAAAGGCAAAAATATATCACTCACAAAACACAAAAATATGTATAATTTTGCTTTTTTTTTTGGGAAATTGGTATTTAGAATTTCAATAATGACACAGCAATTTTTACCTCAATTAGTATTAAATCTGTCTTTTCAATAAATCATTCCCATCTTGAATTAAAATTGAAAGATAGTATTAAAAAATTTGTTATGGCATTAAATTTGTTGTCTGAACAAAAGTTTTTGCGGGTAAATGAATACTAGAAGGACGAGGCGGGTGGTCCCAACCTTTTTAACTACTCACCGGCGAAAACAAACTGAAACAGACAGCATACTTATTCCAAACAAAAGTCTTGAGTCCTGACTTAATGAGCCCCTTTCTGCTGACATTTCATTCGTTCCTCCATTAGTCCTCTCGTTTACACGTAGTCACACAGTAGCTCCGAACATAAACACCTTCTATTACAATCAAACTAATTGAACAGATTGTTGATCGATATTTGAGGTATTGCGAGATGGGTTCTGTGGAGGAGGAGATGAAGGAAGATTCTAAAGCTGTTGAAGATAGCAACCTTGAAATGGGTTCAGAAAAGAAGGAGAACAGAGCAGAAATGCAGAAGAAAGGAAACAAGGATAAAAGGAAGAAGAAGTTGAAACAGAGGCGAAATTTTATTCTGCGAAGATTCAGTTGTATCAGAATGGACGATGAATATCCGACGGTTGATGAACCGACTGGCGAGGGAAGTTTTAATATGCAGGCTGTTACGGATCGTACACCGACTCACTTAATTGTTATGGTTAACGGTATTATTGGAAGGTTAGCTTTTTGTTTTTTTTTTTTGGTACTTTAGTTTTTCATATTTTTGGTACGTTGTTATTCATAAGTTTAAAAGTTTCAAAGAATTAAATTAAATTGGCAAAGTATTAAATGTTAACTAAAATTAATGTTTAGCTCTTGGCTTTTTTCTCTTCTTTTTTTTTTTTTTCGGGCGGCGCGCCTTAGTGTTAGTGTTTAGCACTTGGATTTTTATTTGTGATCCTTTTGTATTGCAGTGCACAGAATTGGAGGTATGTTGCAAAACAGTTTGTGAAGGCATATCCCAAGGATGTTCTAGTGCATTGTAAGTTGTATCTTCAATAAATGTAGTGCTTAGATAAATTTGCATTGTTTGTTATGGTGACTTACTAAGCTACATGAGCTTGAATTTAACTTTGTCGACCATCTGATTTGATTTTAATTCAGCTGGAGCAAGTCAGTGTAGATGCATTATACAATCATACAAATGATGTCGAATTAACGTGTTATTTTCAGGCAGTGAGTCTAACTCAGCAATGCTGACATTTGATGGGGTTGATGTAATGGGAAAGAGGCTGGCTGATGAGGTTTGTTGTTCATGGCTTTTGTCTTAGCGCTTAACTATTGCTTTTGCAATTCATTATTGGGCTAATTACCAAAATCTATCCAAATTTTCAGGTGTTATCTGTTGTTCAAAAGCATCCAAACCTTCAGAAGATATCATTTCTAGGTCATTCGCTTGGTGGCCTGGTAACAAGGTATGCTATAGCTGTGCTTTATGGAAAAGATTTTACCAGAAAATCCCACGAAGAAAATGGAGATTGTAAGCTTGACGAATCCAAAGAATCATTATCTGAAGACAAATATAAAGGCAAAATTGCTGGACTGGACCCTGTGAATTTTATAACCTCTGCAACTCCTCACCTTGGTTCAAGGGGCCATAAACAGGTGAATAATTGCTAGCATCAATTTTCTGGATTTTGATTTTGATGATTATGACCTCTAACAGATTAAGCATTATATGTGCGTACAAATGACGAGCAGGGAGAAGTGCTCATATACTACAGTATGAACCTTTTCTGTATGCACCTTCTGTTTTACTTAACCACTCCAACAATGTAGCAGTGCCATCATGGCTGCAGTGTTTCTGGTTTAAGATCTGAGATTTATCTGCTAGTTTGTTCTTTAATATTTCTATCATATGTTGTTAGAATTATATCTCCTAGTTTAAAGGTAATGTAGCAGCACCAAGTAGCCAACAATTGGAACTTTCATAGGCTGCATGCATTGCTTTTGTGTGTTCTTGCACTCCAGTACTCTAGTAATGATTCTTTTATCATTTCATGGACATGCAGGTCCCTTTGTTCTGTGGATTGTACACCTTGGAGAAAGTAGCATCACATACAGCATGGATACTTGGAAGAACCGGAAAACATTTATTTCTGACTGACGGTCATGATGGGAAACCTCCACTTCTGTTTCAAATGGTCAATGATTCTGAAGATCTTCAATTTATGTGAGCAAACATGAGTGAACTTATTGTCCCAAAGAATTAAACAAAAAAGAATGAACTTTTTATTACTTCTTTTTTCATGTGTCCAACAGAATATCTGAAAATTTTCTTCTATTTCTTTACCATTTATTTCTTGTTCCTGGATTTGCAGATCCGCATTGCAATCATTTAAGCGACGCGTGGCCTATGCAAATGTACGACATGACCGTATCCTGTTATACCCTTGAATTGATGGAGCTTTTCCACGTTAGTAGAAATTATTAGATACCTTATGCAGTCAAGAAACTGTTCAAGTTACAGATATTGAAGTATAACATTGCTGCAGGTTTAATTACTTTCATTTGTTTTAAAATCTCTGCCATACTTGAAAAACTTAACTAAGTGCAGATCTTGTTGGGTGGAGTACATCATCTTTGCGACGCCGGAATGAGCTTCCAAAGGTAAACATTTAGCATTTAAAGTCAGAAAGATGTTTTCATCTAAAATGATTTTCTGACAGTTCAATTATATTTTCAGCGGCGCAATCTGTTAAAAAATGATAAGTACCCACATATCGTGAACATAGAGACTGCAAAAACAGCCATTTCACAAGAAGAGACGGATGTTCGAGTCGAGGGATTTAGGATTGCGGACATGGAAGGTTTGTTTTTTCCTATAACTCCCTTAACCGATAAAGTCTCTTTTTTATCAGAGGTCTTCAATTGGGAGTTTGACCTGCAATCCATTTATCATTAGATAATGGTGTTGATCCTGCAAAGTGTAAATAGTTAAGTTTTGGTGGAAATATGTTGATGATTTTGGTCTAAATCCAGGAGAGACCACTGTTAAATTTATGGTTACACATCATGATGATACACAAGTAGCAGTTTCCATGTAGCTTTTCAGACCAGGATTGAGAGCCAATGATATGCAATGTTGCATGAGCAATTAAATGTGACTTTGAAGTGTAAGCTGGTCTTAGTAAATCAATTTTATGAACTCTTGGCGGAAAACATAATCCCTCTTATTAAACTATCCAGAACATTAATCCTATCTGTATGTTAGTGGCATGAGAAAACGTCCAGATTTTGGTAATTTGACACGTCTCAACAGTGTGCTGTACACTCAGTGACATTGAGAGAACTGAGTTTAAAGCATCCTATATGCGGATCGGTGATTTATATTTATCGAATCCATCTCATGTTACCGTAAATTAAACTGTTTAAAATGGTGTTTTAAGTGGCTTCTCTGTATTCTTGAGCTGGTAAATAAACTCCATGTGTCTTTAGGCAGTGCCGAACTGCCAATCGGGCTGAAGATTATAGTCTGATGAGAGAGTAGATGATGCTATTGATGTCGAATGAAAAAGCAATTCAAGATTCTTAGAAAGGATTTTGGAAATTTCAGAAGAGATTAGAGATTGCTGTAGTCTTCATGTAACTGAGAGTTCCATTTTTAATCCCGTGTTTTACCAGACTTGGATAAAATGAAGTTCTGTGTCAAAATGTGGGCTTATCAAGTGTTGGACAATTTAAATTCTTTTGGTGGGAAGTTGGACCGGACCATTTTACAGGCCATGTTATCTTCTTTCGATCGCATGGTCGAAAATTCAGAAATTAATCCTATGGTGGAGGACCATATGAACTACTTTAGTTCTTTGCAACTACAGCCACTTCTTTTGGTGACATCAGGACCCAAAACATGGCATGATGTCATGAGAACATATACATCTGGAATTATATGCCAATTATTTTATTGACACGCTCACTTGTCGATTTTCTTAGCATTGAGCTGTTTGCATCTGCTTAAATATTTTTCACAGATTGTTCATCCATTTTGATTTCGTGTGATGTTTGATTCATTCATTTAATCTCTATTTTCGAAATCTTAGAGGTCATGCTGAGAAGTTTAACAAAATTGAGCTGGGAACGTGTTGACGTCAGTTTCAAAGGAAGTAAACAGAGATATTTTGCTCACAACACCATTCAGGCATGTATTCAACCCCTAGCTCCACAACGAGTCAATAATGCCTTTGCTCGCTGCAGGAACTTCCAAATCATGTGTTTTTTGCTTGCTTAGGTCTTTTATTCTGTCATTTTTGTCTCATTTACGTTAGACGCGTGAAAGTTACCAATTTGAGTTTCTCCATTGAACAGCCAAATAAATGAACATCCAAGCACTAGAATTCCAGTTTACACAAATCTCTTCCATTGCTCTGAGTCCGTAGTTAGATGCTTACTGCCTTACTGATAACACTTGACAATGGCATCATCTATCTTCTTGTTTATGATGTTAGAGGTGTTAACCATCTAGGATGACGCTGAATGCTGCTACGGTGCAATCAACTAATATAATTATTTTCTGCCACTGCTGCAAGTTCTGTGGTTCAAGAAACTATTCTTGTTTTCCTACTTGTTCGGGTAATATATTGGCGCACCAATTCTGATGGTGCCGATGTTATACAAGACCTGGTTTACAGTTTCTTTATGTTGTAGAATTTGCCGATTCAAGTACTCTGTCTTACTCTTCATCTCCATATAATAACTTGAAAGACTTACGGTTACCTTTTTTCCAGGTACAGAGCTACTGTACGAATTCTGATGGTGCCGATGTAATACAGCATACGATTGACAATTTCCAGCTGTAGAAGTCGAAATTTTGTATTGTTATCACTGCACATATCTTAGATATATCATCATATATACCGTATTCTTGAGAATCCTGCTGTCTTGCACCATTATCAACCCATGTACGCTTTTGGAACTGGATTTAGAGGAGTCAAATTTTTGCTGTTTATTGTCTTATTCCAGAAGAGCCAGCAACAAAAACAAAAAATCAGAGGTCCGATATGGGGTTAATTCCACTTTGTCCCCCCAAACTTTGGACGATTATCCACTTAAGTCCCTAAACTTCAAAATGGGACACTTAAGTCCCTAAACTTATAAATACCTCCCACTTAAGGAAAATTGTTAACAAATCCTGAATGCCGTTGGTGGTCGAAGTGTCCCATTTTATAAGGGTTTAAGGATTTAAGTATCCCATTTTATAAGTTCAAGGACTTAAGTGGGAGGTATTTATAAGTTTAGGGACTTAAGTGTCCCATTTTGAAGTTTAGAGACTTAAGTGGATAATCGTCCAAAGTTTGGGGGAACAAAGTGGAATTAACCCGTCCGATATGTACATACTTCATTAATTCTTTGAGGTGGTATTTTCCACTGTAATCTACTCTTTTGATCGTGTATACTACATAAATCCCTTTCTTTTTCACTAGATTGTTTGAGAAAATAATCAGGTAGATCATGTACAATTATTGTTTCTTTCTGGCCACCCTGTACAATATGTACCTAAATAGTAGTAGATACTGTTGTCACCGTTGGCACGAGGAAGAAAATGAAAATGCATACAGTTGAGCATAGGTGAAGCTCCCACCACATGGAGTCCTCTGTGCCCCAAAGCAGGTGAAAACGGGTAAAGCCTATGGTGGGGAGATGGGACCTTATCTACTACTTGTGTCCAGATTGCCAATGTGGACAAAGCCTTGCAGGGTACGTACCTGCAGCAGGAAGCGCTGCTGACAGAATTATGGGTAGGTAGGTGTCCACTGTCCCCGGATCTCCATTATTAACTCGGTGATTTGATAATTAAATTCTGCAGAAGTTGGTTGAATCAAGATGGCGTAAGGATGCTACTAGTAGTAGAAGTAACTAAGATGAATCTGCAGCAGGGCAAACTGAAACTGCCCGTTTTACAGTACCATGGTGTAGTTAGCAGCTCAATAAAATGTAGAAATAGCCCTTTTCAGTTTTCATCATTGTACCTTTGCATAATATGTGAGTGAGTTTAATTGAAATTTGACAAAATCCAATGCCCTGTATTTGTTAGTACTTTTTAAGTTCGAAGGATCTGAAATCACTACATTACCATTGAGAGAGAGAAAAAAAAAACAGCTAGCAAAACACCATAGCAAACTGAACGAGGCATTGGCCCATTGCAATCAACTTTCTGTGGAGAAAACAGTAAAGATGATGGGAACCCCACTTCTTCTACCTCTGATGTGCCAAAACATAATAGATGATCAATCCCCACATGATTCTCTATTAGATTGCATACAATAGGAACATCGAGGAGCATCTGGCTTTCAAATACTCCTTTCAGATAGTAGAGGGAAAAAAAAAAGGGTCATAGACACACGAGTGGTTTCACAAAAGCCCAAAAAATCAAACTTTGAAAATGACCTTTTCATCTACTCCTATGGAGAAGTGCAATAATTGCTCTGTGTTCTCTGAGAAGGAAAATCAAAGAAGAAAAGAATCGGTACAAAATAATTCTGTGCCTGCCACACTTACCGCACCCCAAAAAATTTTTTTTTTTCTATGACATACCCAATGCCGCCAATGATAGATACTATACATATTTGCAAGCCAGTTTCAACCAGACGAGTCCAATTCTTTATTCATGAATTTCTCAAATTATACATGATAAAGGATATCAATTGTCCCTCAAGCACACAGATAAGTATTTAAAAAAAGAAAAAAAAGAAGCTCAAAGTTTTTATGCAACTCAAGTTTCAGCATATTTTATACATCTAGGCCAAAAGAATTGCAGACATTTGAGGTGAAGTGATCAAAGAAGTAATTCTTGTTCCATCTTTTTGTCACATTAAAATGGCTTGTCGGTTCCTTTTTCTAATTCCTACGTACAAGTTGACACAAATAAGAGAATTGGGAAAATATATTCAAAATTTCAAGATTTACAATAATAATTTGTTTCAGAGTACTTCTTGGTATGGTAATTATAAGAAGAGAAGAAAAATTGGTCAATCAATTTGATAATACTACAGTAACGTCTGTTTACGACTTCCATCATTCCTACTTTTGATCACCACTAGACATTTCCTTTTTTTCATCACAAGACTAGACAGAAATTGATTTGAGGCTGTGATATGACAATAGGCGTGAATGCCACCACTAGATCGGATCACCCTACACTATAACGATCCCGTAAACAAAAGAGTTTGCGTGGATTCGGAGGTAAAATTTTCTCATCAAATTCATGAATCATTATCATAGTTTACTTGCAGAGACACAGACACAAAGCTAGCTATATGCATAGCTACATCAAATCTACTAAGACTCATCTCTATAGTAGTATCCACCTGCCCTAACCTATAATCTTTCTTGGAAACTCGATATACTGTTCTGAGGGGAGAAGACGAGAGAATTTTGCGTGTTAAATACATAAAGTAGAGGCTAGAGATCGCCATTGAAGTTTACCATGCATGGCTGATTGGCCTCTAAATAATCAAAAAATCTACTACAAGCAGTAGTAGTATTTAATAATAAATGAACTGCTCAATAGCCAAGCAAAACAGTGATCCTACGATATACGCATAAATGAAGGGGACAAAATGAGTGAAAATGAAGGAAAAGGAAAGCCCATAAAGCCACATCCTTTGTGGTTCGCATGTCTGATATCAAATGTCCTTTTTGCCAAATCCCTTTTATCCATCGTCACGTATCATACCGGCTATGAGTGCTTTAGTGTGCGTGTGCTGCGTGCAAATAATTGGTAAACTACCTTCCCTTGTTCCTTTCAGCGGCACTGCACATCATTCCAAATAGGCAAATACTAGTAATCTCATTCTGAAATCTGAATTCTCTCCCACCTTCAGTCTCTCTATCCTTAATTTTGTTTGGAGTTCCCTTTTTTAGTTTTTAAATTTTTTTTTCGCCCCTCTCCCCCTGGTCCCATAAGACTAGTAATAAAAATTGGGTCTTTTTCCCCTTCTGGATCAGAGTCTCAGAGCTTCTGAGTCTCGGGCTCATTTAAAGAGGTTCGAGATCTTTCCCTTTCAAAACACTTTTGTCTCTCAAGTATTTTTCTTCCATTTGGTAAAACTTTGCACTCCACATTCTATTATTATTTTGTCAAGAAAAGGACTGCTTGTTGTAGAAAACTGGTGTGTACAAAGTTGCAAACTGCATAGAAGCTTTTGAGAGTAATGGAGAGCAGGTGGCAGCGATGCCATGCAGTCACTTCTGATTGACCAATCTTTCTTCTTTTACCTCAATATATATTCCATCTTTCTGACTTCCCGACTTGCTCTCTCCCTCTTTCCCCAACTCTTTTCACCTTTTTAGCTCAATGGGTTCAGGAGCTGGCCGCATTTTTCACTATAGAAATCGACATCTCCTCACTTTTGTGCTCTTTCTTCTGATTACAAGATCGAACCCTTTTAAAATCATTGCTGAAGGTAAGTTCCTACTTTATCATTTCTCCAATTCTTTTAAAACCCTCTCAACGTTAGTATTTACAAGTGAATTTATTACTGAAGTCTCTGCTATCATTCACTTTATAGGCAGAGCAACTCCTAAATTGCAAGTTCAGAGCCTTGAAGCTAATCAGGTACTGAGCTTTTTCTTCTTTTACTGGTTCTGCAGAAGGGTGAAATTAACGTTTAGAATCGAACCCTCGTCTTAAAACTGTTAAAAATGAGAACAAAACTATATCCAATTTTCATTCAAGAAAATCCAGAGAGGATTCTTAATTAGTGGAATGTAATTTGTTGTTTGTTTTTGTGATCATTAAGGTCTTAAACAATTCTGACAATTTTCTTGTGTTTGTCGAAAATTGTGGATGGTGGTGGCAGAAGAGAGTTGAAGAGAAGGTTGTCATGGTGAGGTCTTTGATAGGATCAAGGCCACCAAGATGTGAGAGAAGATGCATGTCTTGTGGGCACTGTGAAGCAGTTCAAGTTCCAATTGTTCCCAGTCTAAAGCACCAAAAAACAAGGAGCAATCAGTTCTTTGCAACACCTACTATAGCTTATTCAAGAGGTGATGATATCTCCAACTATAAGCCTATGTGTTGGAAGTGTAAATGTGGCAACTTCATTTTCAATCCTTGATTGTATTTTTCAATTATTAGACCCCAAAAAAAAAAAAAAAGGACCCACAAGTCAAGCCTTTTGTATGAAGAAAATAAGTTTCTTCACTTGTCTATATATGTAGTCTTGGGCAAAAATATTTAGTTCCGGCCTCTAATATGTGTTGTTCCCAAGCTTATATCAATTTGTATATCTAGTTTTGTAAGTGTTTTAGGATTCATTAATGCCCATTTATCTTTTAATTATTAATGTCAAGATCTATTTCCTACATATCCAACCATAAATGCACTTTGTTGTTACATTCTTGTCAAGCTCCTGACAGTCAGTATGTACTGTTCCCCAGCTTATCAATTACTTCCTCCCTTTTTGTACAACTGACGTTTAAGAAATTTGCTCTTAAGTACTTTTATTTGTCGTTTTACTATCCCCACGCAGCATTAATTATTTTTTCACAATTTTACCCTTTTATCTCTCTTTTCCAATACAGGGTTCTTAATTACTACTCCTAGTTAGTTTGCATTGCTTTTGACCTAGTAAAACAGCACCATTTAGTACTCTAGTGAGAGAAAACATGGGTGAATTGGATAATTAATGAGGGTACAAAAGGAAAGTAGTGTATAGATTTAAACAATGAAAAACTTTTCTTAATTGGTGTGCAAAACCTTAAACGTCAGTTATAAAAAAAGGGAGGGAGTACTAGTATATATAGATAGCTTTGCAAGTGTTTTAGGAGTCATTAATCTCCTTTTTATCTGTTAAATATTAATGGCAAGAACTATTGCTACCTTATCCAAGAAATATTAAATGCACTTTTTCCTTGCAATTTCTATTTATATTCTTGAACTTCAAGCATGATCACCAATTTGTAAATCCCACATGCACGCGTTGAATCATCCAAATTCACGCCTGATCAAAAGTTGATGATTCTCAAATATTTGTCTCAAGTGAACGATAAACATCATGGCAAGATCATTATTCTGAATGATTAGAGAATTGATGATTCCCCAAGTAATTAATAGTGGATAATTGCCAAATGGATCACTGTCCCAGTACAAATGGAACCACTTTTTGGGAGCTGTAAAAGGAAAAGAATGAGGCATAGGACTGAGGAAGGGGCATTTTTTTTGGAGGGGGAGTTTTGTTTGATATATTATTAATGTCTTAATCAAGATGTTTAGTACAATCAAGAATGGATGGGAATGTGAGGATATTGGAATTGAAATGGAGATTTGGTAGGAGTACTATTTTTAATGCGATAGAGATGTGAGAGTATCAACCATGTCAGTTTTGCAGTCCTGTTTTCGTATCATACAAGATTTTCATATATAAATATTTTTTGCATCAGAATTCAGAAAAAGAGCTCCTGAGTTCTGAGTCCTCTCCTGCAGGCCTCCTCGAATGGATAAATCTATGGGTCTGCTTGGACGCTAGCTGCTCTTACTGCTACTGCCTCATTTCCTTCTTTGATATATTATTCCTATCACTACAGTTTTTCTTGACACCCTACATGATTACTATAAGAGTGAATTTCACAGTTTGGTTTGTGAATAGAAGGGACAAACCAATGGATGTTGGCGCAAGTGGAAGGAATTTAAGGTTGTGTTTGGATTGTATTTTTCGTCATTTTTCATGAAAAAATTACTGTAGCGATTTGATATATGTGAGGGCAAAAGGCGATAGGAAAATGTGATTACAGAAAATGATAATATTTTCCGACGGAAACAAACAATCCAAGCATGGCCTAAGTCCTTGACAGTGTCTTGGTTCGAAACCTATTAGAATGAAGAGAATAATGGGAGAACTTCTCCTATAAGGGGTTAAATTCGATTCGAACAAAATTAGTCGCAAATTGTAAGTAAAATAGATGGACATTTGCAACTTATAAAAAAAAGAAGAAGAAGGATAGGAGGGACAACATTTAGCTAGTTCCAATTGCTAAATGTATATATATGTTAGGTAAGTGAGAGATTTTAAATCTAATACCTCTTAGTTACA